TAATGACTGTTGGATTGATATACTGATTGGTTTTAATCGATTGAAGCGTGTTTATTGAGTCAATTGAATCCTGATCAACTTCTCTTGATTTCTGCTTCAACCTGTGATAGATAGAATCTGAATAGGTTGTTAGAGCTTCTTCAATCGATAGGAGTGAACTGATTGTATGAGAGTCAGTCAATTCACTACTTTGTACTGGAATCTGTTTCCAATAGTGGAGTTCTGTGTTAATTGCCTTAGCATTCTATCCCGGTGAAGACTTGTCGTCTGCCAGTTGGTCTGTCTGAGAGGGCTTGGTCAGCTTAAAAGATTCCAAGCTACTGTCGGATCTTCCGCAGTTTAATCAACAGTGAACCAACCAAAGGAAATTACAACTTGGACCTAATTAAGAAGCTAGGGGGACTCATTCCCGAGTGACTGTTCTATTTCTTCAGAAAACCGAACAATTTACTACTTTCTCTATGTTTTGGTTTGAATTCAACTTCACTCACTTATTCCCTCTAGATAATAGAAGTTCATGGAGTAGGTAGTAGATCTAGACCCCGGGTGGATAAATTAAACTTACCCACTATTCTGCATTTCCAAACTGCGATTATACTTTATCGTAGTTTGGTGTTGTGTTTTATCGAGTCACATAACATCCATTGTGGGAATCGGAAATCAATCCTTAATGGTAGCCTCATTCAGTGTGCGGTAGTATGTGCAAAACCTCCATATGTCGTTCTTCTTCTTAACCAGCAACATCGGTGATTCAAATGGGCTCGTGACTCGAGCGGACTAGCCCCATGTCGAGCATATAAGCCACTTGTCTCTCAATCTCTGACTTTTGGTGATATGAATACCTTTAAGGTCGCACATTCACCGCCTCGGTCCCCTCTTTCAAAGGAATTCGGTGATCCACCTATCTAATAGACGACAAAAACTCCGGTTTCTCCAGTAGCCCCCCGTACTGCTCAATCAGTTCTTGTAGATCGGCTGGTAACTCTTGTTCCCCTACCTGCGCTAAAGGAACACACAAAACCATATAAACAATATCGCCATCATGTAACCAACTAAACTCATGTGTTGGAACCTGCGCAGTAGATAGGCCCTGTAGTACGTAATCCTTCTCCTTCCATTTAAACTTCATAGTCAATTTGTCACAATCACTAGTAACCGGACCCAGCTCACGTAGCCACGACATTCCCAACACTACATCCATTCCATGAAGAGGCAGAACAAAGAGGGTAATGGCAATTTCCAAACCTTGAATCCAGAGACGAACGTCGCTAGGGCTGTCAGTTCGGTTGCCGGTTGGCGGCTAACCGGCTGGTCTAACCGGTAACCGCCGGTAAGCGGCTAACCGGAAACCGAAAAAAATGGGTGGCGGTCGGTTATCGGATGAGTTCAGTGGTTAGGCGGTTAGCCGAAAAACCGAGGCCGGTTAACCGGCTAACCGACGCTAACCGACCGACGCTAAACAACCCCGTTTTGGCCTAAGTAAAACCACCCACATCTCCCTAAACCCTAGCAGTTGTGAGCAGCCCCCATCCTCCCTCCTCTGACCTCTCGTTCCTCCATCTTCCCTCCTCCTCCCCCATCCTCCCTCCTCTGACGACTCCGGCCGCCTCCCCTGCCTCCTCCGCTACCCCTCCTTCCACCGCCACCACAACTTGCCGCCCTGCCTCCGTCGCCGCCCTCCCCAGCCTCCGTCGCCGCGCGCCGCCCGCCTCGCCGCGCGCCTCGCCGCCCGTCTCGCCGCGCGCCTCGCCGCCCGTCGCTCCCTGCAGATCTGTTTGCATGGGCCATGGAGAAAGAAGGTGAGAGAAGAAGAAGGAAGGAGAGAGTAGAAGTCTGTTGGAGGAAGGAAGGAGAGAGGAGTAGATAAGAAAGGAGTGATGGAGTTTTTTTCGTTTTATTTAAAAAAAATTTTTTGTGGAAAATGTATTTTTTTCGGGTGGCCAGCTAACCAAGCCTAAAACCGGAACCGGCCGGTCGATTGGCCGGCTAACCGTGACCTCTCTTCGGTCGGTGGTCGGCAGCTATAGGGGGTGTCTCGGTTTAACCGATAACCGGGTTTTCGGTTTTCGGTTAAAACGAAACCGACCGACTGCCACCCCTAAACGTCGCACAACCTCACGGTACAGCGGAGCCTCGCTCCATTCGCTACCTTCACCGTGAAGGTTCGTACCTCTTCATTCTTCGTGGATAACATCGCTGCTTCATGATCACTGATGAAACTCAAGGAGGCGCCACTGTCGATGAGAGCCAAGGCAGATTGGTCCTCCACCTAGATTCAAAACCACATGGTTCCCGACACTGCAGCTCCTTCCAACGAGAGACATGTCGCCGCCGCCTTGGTCTCGACCTCATCAATTTCGATCAGCGGGTGTTTGTGTTAGGTTTTGTCATTACTGGACGTTCGTGACGGCCGCCGTTCGATTCGCTCCCATCCCCAGCTGTTCCGTCCAGACCACGTGCTCTCGTAGTTGGCAAAGAAACGACTCGGGGATTTCTGCTAACGGATCCACGGATTGAAACCAGGATCTGATACCATATGATGAATGGATGATGGTTAGGAGTGGATTGAGATGGGATTGAGTTGACGAAAATGGGGTTGGGGTTCTGGCGAGAGAAGAAAAGAGACTGGAAGGTAGGGTTTAATCTATTACTTGATTGATAAAAATTGTCAATGGTGTGCTCATGATATAAATAATATAAAAATAGTATCTCTCTATCTCTTCTCACTCAACATAACGCGGGTTCGGCTTGGGTCGTCGGTCTGACCGACAAACCATTCCACTCGTGCCTTCATCAGTTACTTAAGAAGCATGGCAAATCAAGTGGAATGTGCATGTTTAAGATGACTGAACAAAAATAAAAGTTGGGCGACTACTGCTTGTTGTGATGTCTGCTGCATGCTCTATCATGCTGTGACCATTTGTAGCATATGCATACCAGTTGTCACTTTGAAAGGCCAAAGGTGACAATAATTTATATATGAAACAAGAGGTAGCTAGCTACCTGCAAGTTGGCTCTCAACGTTCAGATCGATATTAGCAAAAATACAAAGGCGGATTTTAGTTAAACTATACCAAATGATCGAGCCACTAGCAAGATAGTGGTTGCATGTAGCAACAAACTTGTCTTTGGGTGTATGCCTATAAGAGTAAAGTCTCTTGTCACGCTAGGTGACAAAACACCTAATTTTGGGTTATTCACGCCATATTTGTATCTTTCACATCATATATATTTGTGTTATTGACGTAAGACTGTTGATTATTCACGCAACCAATACTGTTAGGTCATGCCACCTAATGTTTATTCACGCACATCATTAATTATTCACGCCGTTGTAAAATAAAATTTTAAACTTTGAAATATATCAAAATAGATGTCATTGTGTAGATTATGATCAATGCAACATATTTTTACAGATTAAATGATAATCCAAATTTAATTCCATAAAATATAGCAAAATTATTAGGGAAAAAAGTATGAATTTCCATTTACGTGAAAAACTTACACTCTTACGTAAATCACCATAGTATTGCGTGAATGAGCACAAAATGGCGTAAATTACCATAGTATTACGTGAAAAACTTACACTCTTACGAAAATCATCATAGATTTTGAGTTAAACTCAACTGCTCACTTCCATTTTCGGTCTCTTTCATTCAATGGCAACAAGGTACGAAAGCCCTAAGGAAGCATACATACATATATGTGGAGGTAGGTAATTAGCAATCATGTAATGATATCTCCATCGTCAAAGTTACAAGTTCAATTCTTCATCTCACCCTATAAAATATGAAATGATGCATGAATCTTGATGAATTAAAAAGTGATAGAAACCTGGAGTTCGAGTGTCTATCGTTTACTAGGGATTAGGGAAATGTAGTGATCACCGAGTTGATGATCCACTTCATTAGGGCTAAGTAAATGAGAAGAAGAAGTTTGAGAAATGGAGTAGCAGCAAGGTAAGGGGAGGGAAGAGTTTCGGCGGATAGAAGAAAGAAGAGGGGATTAGGGTAAACTGACTTATGTCAAATTTCTTCACCGTTGATCTCATCTAACAGTCATTATTTATGATAATAAAAAATAATTATTTTTTGTAATTATAATTACCAGTGACACCCATTAAATTTATATACATACAATATAGTCCTCGAACAAATTTTACCATTGCTTTTCATATTATAGTACCTTATTTTTTAACTCATTGTTTCGAACACCCAAACTTTGTATCACTATTGATTAATTCTCCATCGACAATTTGGGTGATTGCTTATACTCAATGCAAATTTGGACGATTTTACTTCTGTCCACAATTAACCTATATCCCAAATAAAAACCACCGCCGAAACCCATCAAACTCTGCAATCAGAGGATTGCCGCCGCAACCCACTGCCATCCCAAAAACCCTCCGCCACCAGACCAGAAACAAGCCGCCGAAACCCACTCCCCGTTTGCTGCCGTGACCCATTCCCTTTGCCCAAATCTAGCTCTTGGCAGCTTCTTCTTCTTGTCGTTCTCTCGCTTCTTTGACAAACGCAATCCTAGCTGCCTCAATCCCTTCCTAGCGGCAGGCTGCGTTTTCACTCTGCCTCTTTCTCTTTGAAACACACAAGGAAACAGCGCTGGGGAAGGTGAGATACACTGCGGCCGCTGAATCAGGGATGCTAGCGCCGCCCTTAGCCTCACCCTCGCCATCTCCGCGCTCCTCCTCGTCTCTTCTTCTCGGCGGTGAACCGAGGAAAAGTAGGGAAGATCGACTACACCGAGATTGCAGGATGATGGGGGGATCATACGTCAAGACCCGGATCGGCGAAGCGACGCCCGTCGATGATTCAAACACGGTGAAGGTGTGTTTTTTCGTAAATTGAGTTTCTACCTTGTTGATGCTTGCTAATAATTGATTTTGGAAATTTTATGGAAGATGACAAATGGACGGAGGCGAGTTTCCTGTTAGTGTTGTTCTGATGACGATACCTTGTTGATAACGTGGAGTCTCATTCTCAGGTGATGAGAGATGGGAAGATTGTGCAATCTGGGAAGTACGACGAGCTGCTGGGATTAGGGACAGATTTTGAGACACTGGTAGCTGCTCATGACACTGCCATGGAACTCGTGGAAGCTGGTAACAATAACTCACATGGTAGTGAAGAAAATGGCCTCAAATCGCCAGGAGGAGCCCCTTTCAGCCCTGGAAGAGAAGCAGCAAACGGCAGTAGCGACAACAAGGTATCGTCATCAGAACAACACTAACATTTCCATTTCCAAACATTCGGTTGCCTATGAGAGGATTTGGAGTTAGTGAACGCGTTTCAGTTTTCGTATCTGTATGCGCGCAACTAAAATGCTATTGCTAAATCACATACGTGGGTCTAGATTAGTTTCAAAGTTCGTTATATCAGTTTTCTTTGGAATTCGCATAACCATGATTTTGTATGTTTGATTCTATGATTCGGGTGAGTCCTAAACAATCGTTTGACTGTGACCTTATTAGTAACATATCTGAGCTGTTTGAGGAGAGTTGATTTGAAAAGATGATTAAACTGGTGTTTTGTGTTTTATGCGTAAGAAAGTTGCTGGTTTTCATCGGTGTTAGAAATTAAAACCCAAACCTATTATGCTAGCTCTTGAATGCATGCATCCCATTTGATACAATAGATCTAATTCAAACAAGTACTAGACCAATTTACTGTAATGTTGCCATACTTAAGAGAGTTTAATTTTGTTGTAGTTTCTGTTGATGTATGTTGCCGTTTTTACTTGGGGGGCATCTGCTGGCTACAAAATTATCTGCAAAGGGATTCTAGACGACCTTGATCACTGGTTCTACAGCCTTAACTATGATTTATCAAGTGACCATGGAATGTAAACCTTGTGATTTGATCTTAGTTTTCTTCTTCCCGTTTTGATGTGTGGTTCTGGAGCATGTGTGGTTCTACTTGCTCGTTGTGATTGAATATGGAAAAATAGGATTGCCAATGCTGGCCACCTGTGTAACTTTCTGAGTTGTAGTACATTCTGTGTAACTTACTTTGTCTTCTGTCTTCTCGGCTCCTTGGGTTGTGATCCTTCCCCTGAAATTATCCCTTTCTTCCAACAGAACTCATTACTCAACTTACCCTTCATCCCTCCACTACCTTCTTCCTATTCTCTGTACATAAAATACATGATTTGACAGTGAACTTCCCACTCTCATTTCATGTCCAGCACATGTTATGTAGAGATTTTGAGGGTCAATGACAAAAATTGCTTGCTATTCTTCTTTTGTAAATATCAGCTCCAGTAAGTCTCTTCTCCGAACTCTTGCTTGGCTTTCTGTTGACTACTTATGCAATTGAGCATTGAATGATAACTAAATACTGTGGACATGTAGCTGCAGATCTACTATCTCAGGTGCGTGGTTTTCCCTTCAGGATCTTCCACTATTGAGGGACAGGGAGTAATGGCATTGGTAGTATTATGTAGGAGGAGTGAACGCGAACGATATGTTGATGTGGTGTGATGTTCAGGCTGAGCATAGCCCTGATAGTTAGGTTATGGCTGCAGTTGTTGTGTCGTGGATGGCTTCAGCATGAAAGCTATTGAAGAGGAAAACAGCAGGCAGTGCCAAGGACTTATCAGAGGAGACTATGCGTATATGTCTCTTAAGCTTTGAGCCACGATGAGATCGTATGTGCGAGTGTTCTCATTTGTAGATTCCATTATAGACTTGTTGGTTAGAGACAATCAAGCATATGCAACCCTTGATTGCACCACAACTCAGTTTGTTTCGTTGTAACGATTTAGAATACTGGTTTGGTGTCGTTTAATTAATGTTGAGAACAGGTTTCCTTAATTTGATTTGAGGTATCTTAAATCTTAGCCCTCTTTGCGTCTGCAGATGTTTAATTCCTAAGATTAGTATGTGGTGGCAGCCAAGCTCATACGTGAGCTACCGTAAGCCGGAACCTAAACTGCCCTGATGCAACTTCAATTCTAGCAACTTGCAACTATAATGTTTTTCCTATGTAATATCCTTTTTTCAATAAAATGGTCTCATCCTATAAAAACTAAAAATCTCGCGATAACTGAAATTTCCAGCGTGTCCAATGATACTATGCACTGGGGATCGGGGGTTGATAATAAGTCATGGAGGTTTATAGTGAAATAATGTGGCACATTTGTTCGCTAATTTCTTTCCTAACTCTCGGTGTGTTTTGTTTGATCGGGATGATATTTCTCAAGCCGTGTCTCTCTCATTGGTCTTTTAACGAGAGCTTAAGCAGTTGATTCCTCAAAGAAAAGAAGAAAAAAAACTTCAGCATTCGAACCCTGCATGCCATGACTGAAAACTGAATCACGGGCTAGCACCTTTGCAACTTAGGCTATGTAGTTGATTTGATAAATGTGACATTTTTATAGTTCACATACTTAATAGTTAATAAGAGAATCACGAGTTAATAAAACAAGATATCCCGTTCTTCAAAAAAGGTATGTAGCATTAATTGTTATGTACAAAGGCGTTGTTTCCTGTCAGTACGCTAAACTTCTTATTTCACTCGTCAAACTATGTGACAATAAGTTGTTTAATTTCATCCTCTATAAGAAATTTAACTAAATAATAAGTCGTATTTGTTCATCCACGTTGAAGGGTAGCTTATGTAAATTTGATATTAGTAGGAGATTAGGTTTTTATGGGTGTAGGGGAAAAATCGATGAATCATTGCCGATGGATTGTGATCCATTGATGAAACCATTGCGTGCAAAAGGGGAGAAGCAAACGGTTCGTAACAATTAAATATAGGTAGAAGTACAAGAGATTTGATACTAACGTGTTTGGTAAGTAGGCAGACTACATGTACATCCATCAAGAAAAGGTAATGGTGTAGGACAAGGAAGTGTAACCTGAAACATGAAGTATGGTCATATAATCAAACAAACTTAATACAAGAATCGCATATTAATAGAGCATGAAACCAATACGAGGTTGTAAATATAACTAGTATCCCTACGTACTACGTAACTCTTAGTACTCTTAGTAGTAATCACTATGTGGTACATTAAGCGTTTAATTTCTAGTTTATACATAAATTTACCTAAACTACTCCATGGCGAAAGATAGTGTTAATAAATTTTAAATAAATAATCTATTACGTATTGATGGGTACATCAAGTAAAATGCGATTTATTTTTAGATAAGTCATGGGGGACATTCGGTGAGCAAATTAAGTAATCATTACGTAACAATGGGGCCAAAACATATGGTTCAAAGGAATTAAAACTCCATTGAATTACAATCACTCTGATCCCAATTATTCTACTACGTAGGCGGCCTACGAGTACAAGTTTATCAAGAAAAGTAACAGGGGACAACGAAGAAGCTTACCAAAAATCTAGAGTTTTTTTAATAAATGGATATTGTCCCGTAAAAGATCCGAACATGTAAAGTGGTTGTTGGATGAGTTGCGTGTGGAGAGCTATCAGAGACGAAGCTAGCTTGTTATTATAGGGGCCATGTCCACTAAATAATTAAATATGTTTGTGCATTAACATAGACATGTATTAGTGCAGTCCATTGAGAAATGGATAAGGGCGTCACCTGTCGAGGGAGGCTAATGGTGCGGCACACATCATGGCTCACATAGAGACTCGTGTTGACGAGAGAGTTGTGTGGTTGGATAGCCCGCCAGTTTATTTAGTTGATAAGTTGAAACTGGATGATGTTCCATTGATTTCTAATTAATAAAATTTTTTATGAATATTAATATAAATTTTCAGGTTCACATAAAAAATAGAAAAAGAGATGATATATATAATTTTATTAAAGGCCAATATTATATTCCAAATTAATTTATCTACACAATAAATAAAAGCCAAATGAGAAAACTTGAAGCCCCATTTCAAATTTCCTGCATCGAGAGTGAAAGTAGGAAGGACATTTTGGTCTTCACAATTATTTTTTTTATTCATTAAAAAGACACTTACTAGGATTCGAACCATGACCACTTTAAAGAAAAGCAAAGATCATAACCAATCACACTAAGTATATTTGTTGTATCTTTTTAAATTAAAAACATATAATCGCAGAGAGGAAAAAACTCTTCCCCCATTTCAAATTCCCTGCTCCATGAGCGTTGTAGGAAGGGTAGAATATGGAGTGTCAATTTTTTTCTTTTTCCTCAGTGGAACGGGCCAACTTACCGTACACATGCGGATTTAAGCGGGTCCAGGAGTGTCAATTTTTTTAAAGTCATTTTATTTCTCCGTGGTGGTAAAATATATATGAAAAGGAAAAAACAATACTCCTTTTTATTGCTAAAACGAAAAAAATTAACAATAAACTAATGCATGGATTCTAATGGGCTAACCGCTAATCATAAAATAAAAGAGTTGAATGGGTCTGACCTACACGGGATTTTCCCATCAAGTAAAACAAATGAACATCATGGGTTTGTCATTCTAAAACAAGCTATTTTCTCTAGCATAATATATATTATGCTATTATTTTATATCTTAGTGGCTAAAATATAATGTATTTTAAAGTTATTCAATGGTTCAACCTCGACCAATCCAATTAGTCCAATTTTTATCATTTCAAATATATATTATGTAATTATTTGATATCATAATGATTAAATTATAGTGTATATTATAGGGAATCGTTTGGTATTTGTTAGTAAAAAACTAAACAGAAAGATCTATTTGGTTATTTTTAACATTAAAACGATCTTAAACATTTTCAGTTTTCTTTCGAAATTCTTTAGTTTTATTCCCGAATCAGTGATGTGCAAATGGCGAATTGCAGTCATCTCTTTTCTTTCATTATTTTTTATTTTCAAATAAAAGTTTCAAAGTAAAGAATAATTAGAGTTTGGCATGGGTCGGTCAAACATGCTGAATTTCAAGTTTTGGCCCGTTTTGATCAAGTCTAATTTATAATCACATGGTTTCCTGATACCCAATAAAAATCTCAATCCAAACCAGTTTGGCAGGTGAGTCCGTGTTTACCACCATTTTCTAGGGATACACGAATGGTGGTTCCTATCCCAAATCGTGCTGTTCATTCTTGATTTCTTTAGATTTTATCATTGCTTGGCAAAAAACCAGAAAACACAATGATGACAAGATGAAAGTTTTATAAAGCAAATTAATCGCCCAACGGGTCAAGTAAAAGCTAGCAACGATTGTGAGATGCTCATTTCCCGAAAACCGTCGGGATAGGCGATTTTTTATTCGATTTTCTGGAATTCGGTTTCTATAAAACTTACTCCACCTCATCATATTACCAGAAACAATATTGTTTCACAAGGTAATAGGTACTTGATTTTGGTTCATAAGACTGATTTTTGATTCGTTGCATCATTCATGTCTCTTTCCTACTAAAATGCACTATTTTTATCACGTGTTTCCCAAAAAAAAAAATATACAACAATAAGCTATACACCCCATTACATTATCAAATTTCATACCTCATCTTCCTCCGGCCAAATGGTCGGGGCCCACGCTAGTGTTTTGATATTTTCAAACTTAATTAAGTTGGTTTCTGAAATTGAAAAGAACTTCTCATATAAACCTCCCTCCATTTTATTGTTTCAAATGAAAAAAAATTTAAAACTTCAAAATTTCCCTCTATTTTTTAATTTTCGTTGTTTTTTCTTTCCGCCAAAATACGGCGCCCATTCTCCTCAGAACCCGCTAGTCCCACCACTGGAAAATTATCTCCATAGAACCTGCTTCCACTACCAAGAAGCGTTGACGGTCATCTGGTTTTCGACAACGGTTACACATTTATCGGCGCCCATGGGCTTTGCGGCTTCTGTGGGCGAAGGTGATAGTGGTTACACATTTCTGGGACGGCGATCTTTCCTATGCCCTAAATACCGATGTGTCCCTTACCCTCATCTCCAGTAGCTCCTCTGACGATTCCCTACGCTCAATCGACCTTTCGCGCTCAAGGTCATACTCATACACTGGGCTTTTGAGCCTGGTCTTGACTTTTGAGTTTTCTGCTCTACATTGTTTCTTTATTTGATGATGAACTCTGATTTCATATGTTTCTCCCCAGGGAAAAGACGAACCTGAGCTGTCCGACGAAAAAGCAAAAAGGAAAAAAGAGGTTGAGGAGAAATTGGAAATTTTGAATGCAAAGAAGCATAATCTAGTGCAACTTCTAAAGCAGGTAATTTTTTTTATTCCATCGCATCCTCATTTTTTATTCTACTCTTTGGCCTCTTGCATGGCATTGCATTGAATCCAGTTTGGTTTTGCATATTCATCAATGTTTTGTCTTCTGAATTAGTATTGGTGGTGCCTGGAAACCCTTTTCTGTGTTTTTCAGTCGTCTCATTGTTCAATTCTTATGTATGAAAAACGTGAGGTGAAAGACTGTCTTCTTGTTTTGTTACTTTCATAGGTTCCGCCCCTCCCATCTCGAACAAGTTTGGGAGCCAGCCCATCGCGGTTTGCACCCAGGTCAAGGACTACTTCCCCTCTGTGGTTCCATCACTTGTGTTTGCACTGAATTTAGTTATGCAGCTTGTTTTTTGAGTTTTGACTACCATGATTTTAGATTTTTAAGTGGTGTACAAAGTGCTGGATCATGCCCTTTTTCATTCTAGCCATGGCAGATTGATACCTTCTAAGCTTCAGGTAAGTATGTTCGCCATCTAAATCCGTGGAAGGAAGTATGTAGTACCTTCTATTTGTTAATCATGATCTACGTGGAGGTTGTTTTCTTTTTATATGTGAATGGTGATAATGTGCTGCCATAGAGGTGGAAACATTTTGTTTCTTGACTCAGATGTCTTACTGCTTAGCTGGTGCACTATCTCCAGTGTTTCTTCTTCCCTTGCTTTTTGCTAACATGAAGCATTTGAGCTGACATTACAGTCAATGTGGGAGGATATGGAGACTGGGTCAAAGTGGGTCACAGTCAATAGGTGTTATTTGTGGGAGGACTTACCTGAGGGTGTAGGCCAACCATTTTCTCCCGAAAGTAATGAGGTAAACTGTTTACATACTTAACTAATCCTAGGAATGCTGTTGATAACTTTAATTTTGCATACTGACTCACTGGTGAATGGACATACTTAGTGGTTAGCTGCACCAAAAAGATAACTTACTGATGGATGATTTCAAGATTCAGCTAGGGTGAAACTATTCTTGCAACAGCTTTTCAGGTTACTGGCCGGTTTAATGTGATTGCTTTTCTTACTGACATTTTATGTATTTGTGGACAGTTTCTCCTCAGAGACCGAACATGGTGGATGGCATGAGAACAATTGCTTTGAATCTGGAATTTGGGGCATCACACAACCAGACATTTGAAAGGCATTGCTCATCCAAACTCTAGATTCTGCTAGATTTATACCTTCCCTCCTAAACCTGTATTTTTATGTTCTCTTGTGCTAATTTCTTGGTCTTCTGTATTTCACCATCCTGTGCAGAACAATAGCTGTGCATTTCAGTGATCCTTTCCATGTAAGCAGCCGCGTTATTGACAGATGCAATGAAGGTACTCTGCTTCTTCAGGTATGTTAAGCTTAGATTGTTCAGTTACCTGCCAAAATTGAGATCAATGTGGGATCGTTTTTGCAGGTGAACTTGTTTTTCGTTCTCTAAATTTGACTCATTGTCAGTTATCATTTGGTTTGTGCATAAAAAATTTCTGATGTATGCCTCTTAAGAATTTCTCATATCCGATGTTTTTGTTGCTTCTAGGTGATCCTGCAATCCCAAGTTCAGGCCACTCTCACAGTATATGATGCTTGGCTTGAACTTCAAGATGGTTTTGTTCATGCTGGACGAGCTGATGGTCGACCAACTTTGGTCTCCTTTCCTCTTGCAGTTTCTCCAACCTCTAAAGGGGGAATAATCTTCAACATCTCCTTAGGGAGGACAATTGGTAAAGGTTAGATATCTCTGCTTTTCTGAAAGTTGTCTGGAAATAGAGTGGAACTGTACCACAGCTCGAGCTATTTAGAAGGTTTAGAAGTGTAAACCCTCACAAGTCACAACCTTTATTGTTGTAGAAATGATGAGTTTAACAGTAACATCCTCAGTTAAAGGCATTGGAGCTAGTTTGAGTTAGATATTTAGGCAACCTTTGAATATCCTAAAATTTTGCGCAAGTTTGGTTTGATTAGCTTTCTTGTATAAACAAAGTATACTTTAAAGGCTCAAAGTTCTCTTTTCCCCTTCCATTCTTTCATCTCACTTGTTGTCCTGTTACACTTTATTCAAAGTGGGTTCCTTTTCAAAAAGCCTTAGTTAATTCGTGATGTGAGCCTTTAATTTCTTTGGTTTACAGGTGAAAATGGTGCAGAAAAGCCAGAAAGCATATTGAATATCAGATATGGAATTTCTGGTGACAGAACCAGTGGAGCACATCCCCCAGTGGCTATGGAATATTCTGGATCTGATTCTGCAAGGAAGGACCTGACTTTCAGGAGTGTCCTTGTACTGCAAAGGCCCGTGCTCGACCCATGCATGGCTGTTGGTTTTCTTCCACTTCCTTCAGTCGACCTCAGAGTTGGGCAACTTGTTCCCATGAAATGGAGAGTTGAAATGTTGCAAGATATGGAGGACAAGGAAATCTCGAAACACAATGTAAGTCTCTTTTCTTAATGACACTAGATTTGGGATATTGGTTAGAATATGCAGTAATGTTTTGTCTTTCTTTATAAAGTGGCATTGCCTGTTGCTGAGTCTCATTTCATTCTCATGAATATTGTTCAAAGGAAAGTTTACCTGTCTGTGCTTAGATTCATTGATGCCATCTACTTTCAAAGATCAACAGACCTCTGTGCTTTCCAGTGTCCTTCACCTTTGGTTACCCGAAAGATCTTGTTCGGTTTTGTGTCTGCTGACTTTTTTCTACCTAAACCAAAACTTACTGCTAAATTACACAATTTGTGGTCTTTCAGTTTATCACAAGTAACTTAACTATTTATTGATTTCATCTTGCACATCAACTATCTTTTTGGTTTCTTTCATTTGGATCCCTAAATTATACATTTAATTGCGTACTAGCCATGGAGCTATCCTTATGTTCAGTATCATTTGTGTCATTAAATTATGCTTTCAACCAAATGGTTTGACACCATAAGTTTACGTTAATCGCCATGTAAAGTTATGGAAAGATTTGACAGTTCCCAGTTTGGCGTGACATGTTTCGGTGTGAGTGAAGTAATAATTTCTCTAATTTTCTTGACTATAGTAAAAAACTTAGCTGAATCTGTTATATAATGAGATAATAATTAGACGTCCTTTTCCTTTATGGTATACCGTGCTATTATACTAAAAAGTGCTAGTTATATTCCAAAGTTGTAATGAGACGGCTGTGTAAAGATAAACTTTTAGTGACATCTCTGTAATTGAGCCATTTTAGTTTAGCATCCTCAAGGAAATCGAGAATTCTTCATGGCCTAGAATTACAAGTGTAGTTTAGTCACCACCGGTGCAGTTGACCTGAGAACCTACATTTCATGAAGATCATTATTCAAACTTGCCTATGTTCGGTTCCTTAATGTTTGAGAGTACGCATGATCAGTCTTAATTGGTTGGCATATCTATTATTCAACAGGGGGAGGTGTTGTATGAAGTGAATGCGAATCCTGAGAATTGGATGATTGCTGGAAGGAAGAGAGGATATATACCTCTTTCGAAAAAGCAAGGTATCGGAAATACTTCAACCGGTTCTTTTGGTTCACATAGTTTCCTCTAGCGGCTATAGTTTAGATGATGGTACTAATGATCATTTTGTTGCTGCAGGTTCAAGGATAGTGCTATCGGTGTTGTGTGTGCCTCTAGTTGCTGGGTACGTCCGACCTCCACAATTGGGACTGCCTAATGTCGATGAGTCCGACATAAGCTGCAACCCTCCCGGGCCTCACTTGGTTTGCATAATGCCTCCAACACTCAGCTCTTCTTTCTGCATCATCATGCTTCTTATACTGCTGAAAGTCTATTAACAGCCACTCAGTTGTTTCATTCATTTTACCTTGGTGCAGCCGGTGCAAGGGGCATCACATTGGACCCAAGTAAGGTTGCTACCAGTGTCGATATCTAGCTCGAAGGCCTTTGGTGGATTGCCTATGTTTATCGAGATCATGGTGAGGAAGGAGAAGAAGTTGTTCATTGCTTTCACTTGGCTGGTGGTGGTGCTTATTGTGGCCGCCATTGGTGTTAATGATGTGCCTGCCACTGGCCAACAGAGCTTCGAGCATCTGGTTCAACCCCAAGCAGGTATAAAATAAGCTCACAACTTGGTTTCATTGTCTCTTTGTAGTTAGAGGACCATATTCATATACATAGCATGACCACCATTTGTGTATAAATAAGCTCACAACTTGGTTTCATTGTCTCTTTGTTGAAGGTTGCCGCTGCTGCAATTTTGTTGGGAGGGTCCCCAATCTCAGATGTGGGGGAGTTTGCTGCGTGGATGGTTGTTGCTAAATTATGGTGGTGATGAGTGAATTATGAATATCATGATACGATGCCTGCAGGTGGTGGCTTTGTGATAAACCGAATAAATAAAATTTTCTGATCGAAATGTTATCTCGACTGACTGACTAATGTATCAATATACAAGATCACGTTGTGATTTCAGTTACTTTATGGAATGGAGTTTGATCAGCTGGTGAGCGATCTTTTGAGCTGCGAGGCGAAGTGTGAATCCGGTTTAGAGGAGAATGTGAAGAGTCGCCAACTGGGTTTTGAAGAAATTGAGCAGAAGGTAGGGAATGAGAAAGATATGACCAAGTTCTGGTCTGGTTCTGTTGGTGATGGTTTGGTTTTGGGTTCAGGAGGTTATGAGTGATGAAGCCACTCGTGGTGGGAATGCTCCGTGGAGGAGAACTCGCGTCTTGTTGAAACTGGGGACGGGAAATCGAATGGTGGTGATGAGGGGAAGAAGCAGCGAGTGGTCTCGTGGAAAGTTTCCTTTGAGTTGTTGAAGTTCTGTGTTTTCAAAGTTAGCCCGTGTAGACTTTCGCAATGGCTGCAGCTGTAATGGGATTTGTCATCTTTGGTCGGAAGTTATATAAGATGAAGCGTAAGGCGAGGAGCTTGGAGCTTAAAGTTACCCTTGATGATAAGGTGTCGCAGTTCATGAGTCGTGCTGCACGACTGAACGAAGCATTCTCCGTTGTGAGATGGGTTCCCATTGTTCGGCCTATGCTACCAGCTGCTGGTGTGAACCCATAGCCTGTGATGGGCATGGAATTAACTAACGCCAGAGATTTCTTGTGTAGTTGAGGGAAATACAAAAAAGAATGAAGCATTATGGGGAACTAAGTGCAGCTTGCTTGCTTTCTTCTTTTGTCGTTCTTGCAGGCCTCTTTGTTCCACATATTATGTGCATAAAACTTGCAGCCTGAAACTTATTTATCTTGATGTCCAGTGATTGAGTCTTTTATCGACCTAAACATTGATAAGATCCGAACCAAGTCCAAGCTTTTGCCATTTTTATAACACACTAGGTCGGAAAGCCCGTGCTGCGCGGCGGGTTGCAAAATTAACATCTCACGATCTTAAATAGACAACGTACATAACATTATGGAGAATTCAGTATAGCATTAGATCGTAGAAAGGCAAAATCCACCATTGTGCATGGAACAACTAAGTTTGTTTTTAAGGTGCTAATAAGGGGCCTGGTGTGAAGTTGGAGGTGAAGTGATATCTAAAATACTTGGAATTTTTAAAGGCGAACTGTTAATTTCGATTTCAGTCCATGTGTGGGCAAAGTAAATGAACACAACAAACCTAAGGTGATGTCTGGGCTGAAGTTCAATTCATGAGAAAAACTTATCCATCCCGTGGAAAAAGTGAAATATAAAATAACACAAATCCAACCTCTAATTGTAAGGTATGAAAAGCATTCAACATGGACCAATCCTTGTCGTTGAACATGGCCACAACATCCTTTTCTGTTACCTCTCCCGGTTAAGCTGGTGACTTCCTTTCTTGCAGCGTTTAGGTTCTTGATCACATTCTAGGACGTATGAACTAGCTTGTAGAACTAGCCCGGTCAATCACAGGAAAGTATGTTCGTTTTGGTTCCTTCCTATGCCCTGGTACGCCCTTCGTAGAACTAGCTTGTACTGTCACTGTCCATTCATTTGTTGATGCGTGTTCATCCAGTAGTTACCTTCTCTGAGTAAAGCAACCCAATTACCGTTTTCTTTTGCACTGGGATATCTCCAGTAGGCACACAACAGGTGAAGTGAGGGAGGAGCAGCTGCCCAACAAGGTTAATAAGAATCATTACGAGGAAGAAGAAGAAGAAGACGGTGATGATGATGCTGGTAGAGTACTTCATTCGTCTAAGAGACGCAGAAGTAAGAAGAAGCAGGAGAGGCAGGATGAGGCGAATAATACTTGTGGGTTGTCACCCACCAAGTCCTCTTTTCTAGTGACTAAATATAACACGATTTAGTAATTTCAGTGATCAAATGTGGCATTTACACAGATAGTTTTATAGTGACAGGAGAAAATCTCAGCATGCTAAAGCTTGCAAATGTTTCAAATAAACTATCAAGTTCTCGCTATACAAGTACAGCAAACTTGAAACCACTATCACCAGAAACCTAAATACAACACCCCCTCTTCTAGATCTCCATTATGACTAGCCGATACATCAAACTCGAATTTTCACAGAGGCCAGAACACAAATGGATGTATCCGAAAATTACCCGCCTCCAGAAAGCTACTACACTATTTCCAGTGGTAAAAGTTACAGCAACAGTGATCACAGTCGTAAAAAGTTTACTCATTTAGAAAAATCTGGCATAAAATAAGGTCACTAGCAATTCTAACATCACAGTCAAGAACTTTTAGTCATCCGACCGATCACTAGCAGGATCAGAGCATAATCCAACTTAATTTTTTGCCTCAGAACTGATTGTCAATAGCAGGATCGATCCAACTCGGATTATCAGACTCAACAGAGCTCTCTAACTCACCAGCTCAAGCAACAACAGACTTATCAAACATCCTATCTTTTCTAATACAGAAGTAATCCAACCTGATAAGCCAGCGGAATCCACCTCGATCTCCTCGAAACTCCTCCGATTCTCCTCCAATACAGGGGACCTAACCACAACAGCCTCGGCGTCGGAATGAACCTCCCACTCCTGAAACTCCAGCGAACCTTCTCCTTCCATGGCTATGTGAGAAAAAGTGTAAATCTAACATCCTATCTTTTCCAATAGAGACGTAATCCAACCTGATCAGCCAGCGGAATCAACCTCGATTTCCTCGAAACTCCTCCGATTCTCCTCCAATACAGGGGACCTAACCACAACAGCCTCGACGTCGGAATGAACCTCCCACTCCTGAAACTCCAGCGAACCTTCTCCTTCCATGGCTATGTGAGAAAAAGTTTAAATCTATCTATCTCTACCTCTACGAATTGGGAGAAAGAAAGAGAAAAGATTGAGGCTTACCACCCAAATTCGGCCCCCTTTTTGGAGTTTTGATTTGTGATTCTGGGGAAATATGAGAAGAGAGGAAGAAAGGGAAAGGAAAAAGAAGAAGTCGCAGGGTTAGTTTGATTTTTTATCATCGTCGATCAGCTTCGAGAACGATTGAAACAAAATTCTAAACAATGTATAATATTTGAGTGTTGGAACTGAAGTTCGAAGAAAGTAGGGTACCAAAAGTACACAAAGTTCTAAAAAAAATTTTGGGAGCTATAATGCGCGTATAAAATAGTAATGGGTGTTGTTAGTAATTATATTTGCTAATTAATAATTAATTAAATCATTATTACTAATGACCGTCAGATTAGATCAACGGTGTCAGGCATCTGGCATATACTATACGCCTGACATACACCAGTATGTATATGTATATATATATATATATATATATATATAGGTCAGACTGGCGTACGTCAGACATATACTATACGTCAGGTACTACTAGTGAGATATCTCTATTTAGACCATGAATTAAATCGAGTTTGGGGTGTGATACTATACCCTAACCTCTAATGGCTAAACCCCAGACACCGATTTTCTAAACCCCAACCCGAAGTTTGATTTAATGAAAAACAAAAATTGACCGTTGAGATCGGCCGGAGCTCATCTAAGTACATCTAACGGCTAGATCACCTGGCATATAGTATACGCCTGACACTAGTCATCACCATATATATAAATCTCTCTTATTCACTACTAACCTTTGGAAATGCATGCAATATCAGTTTCCAAACATATTTTACTCAAATACATTTATATAACACTAAATAACTCTCGAAATTTCGCTTAAGCTTTCAATGAAAGATGAGATGCACTTAATTGATCTATGAGCTCAAATATATTTTCATACCACTAAAACTACATGCATTGTGATCTTTAGTTGTTTACTCACCTCTGCTTCTGTTTTCATGTTCATAGTTTGGTATGAAATTTAGATAAAGAAACTTTAAATCTCGCGCATTTAAAAGTAGGAGATGAAAACTATGTAAATAAGTGATTGCAAATTTTCTAATTTGAAACCCAAAACTGAAGGAATTTAGATCATCTCATTTCGCAATAAATTAAAAAGTCTCATGGGTAAGTGATACCTTAGCGGTGGATGTGGTGGTGGTGGTGATTGAACAACTAATATCAAACGAGGCCTTAAAAATTCCCTCTATGAATGGAACATCCATCTCAAACCCAATATATTACCAGTCAAATCATATTTGGTAATATCACTTATGGATCAAACCAATAAACAACCATTTAGTTTGGGTCTAAATTATATTCATTACACTAGCTACCTAAAAGAAAATGAACACCCAAATCAAATGTAAATTTTGAAATTTTCTTTACTATATAGCTAGATGGTCGATATTGTTGTTTCATATGTATAATTATATGGACTCTAATAGAACCAAATTATGAGTTCGACTCAAATAGATGCTCTCCTACTCTAATTCACTTCCCCATTCCACAAGTCGGTAATTTAAAATAATCCGGCCAAAAGACCGGGTCAATAGCTGATTGATATATTAGATATGAATTGTTAGATTTGATTCAAATTGCCGCCTCCTCTAATTGTAATCAGGCTTGGTCCGAAAAAACAAAAAATGCGGCCTTTCAAACTGGCACTCCAGGTCCAGGATGCTGAGTTGTCAATACTCAATTGTCATCAAACAGGTCCGCCGGCGGGCGGGCCTGCCTGCTAAAGAAGAGATGAGGTGGCATACTCTCTTCCAAGTTCTTAGGAAATATGTCCAATTGAAGGTTTGAAATTGTTTACATACAGTTCTCATCTTTTTCACATGGATTTACTGGGCTCGGATTAGAACAATAATTACAAATATAATTACTGGGCTCTGAATTTACTGTGCCAATAAACTCTTGTTGCTACAGATACCACTATTTTTGTACCACGGCTATTATTGATCTGCCACATTGCAACACTCTCTGTGAGCTTGAACTTGCTGCGCCATCAGCTTCTCCTTCACCTTCTTTAAGCTGATCAGGTATGAAACTGAGTTTATGCATAAACTACTTGATATCAATCACAAATATAGGTGTATAAGCAAATGTTTCCATCCAGCCACATCCATTCGCAATGCAAATGCAGGTCGACATCGAGCTAATTACCCAACAGAGTTCACCAAGTACCCAAGAAACTGATACACACACTTAACATACGATAAACAACGACACCGATACCATACAAATGTGTCAACGTCCAATATATCTTTATTTTTCTATTTAGTGGCTGGTCGCAGGGAAAGAAGTACGGTAAATCTTCTAGGCGGTAGCATCCACAGCATGATCCCCGCCTTCCACAAAGGCCTGCAGATATTCCTTCCTGAAAGATTTGACAGACAGCGTGGCAACATCTCAAATGGAATCCAACAGGCATGAACAAAACAAAAGAGAGATTTGTTGCGTGTGTGAATAGGTTAGGCAACACACCTAGCTGGCAGCTCGTCGTGTGGGCGATTGAATGGCGTCCAAATGGGATCACCAACAAATAGCCTCATTGCCTGCATAACAATGTCCGTCAGTCATTTCTGAAAGTCCGAAATAAACAAGACACACCAGCTCTATGAAGGCCTATGTAGCAAAAGAAACAGATTTCACTATTACACATGCATCTTACTTCAGGATAAACAAAATGATCCCCACCACAAAAAGTATCTAGCGCGAGTGCAAGAAATTTGTGTAACAAAAACCTCTGAGCAATTGGAATACAAGAAATTAAATCTTTTGAACATAGCTCTTTCTAATGTCATAGACACACTAAAGTAAACGCACAACTTGCTAGTGTATGTTCAATGAATTCTCTAGGCCAGTAGGCCATTTGAAAGCAGTAAAGCAATGCATCCATGCAAAAGATATTGGAAAATATACTTTACCTTGATGTAGTTGTCAGTATCCAGTGTAAAACGGTGGTAAATACCAGCAGGTAACACAATCATTCCTCCTTTCTTCACCGCCACACGGATCCACTTGTCATTCTGATCCCTCACATCAAAATAACCTTCCAAAAGAGCACAAATAATTTGCAAGCAACAATTATAAAACATACTGCAAAAGGGCACAAGAACAGTACACTATACACAATGTAGAAGGAGGATTACCACTTCCATCCACACAATAGCGAATCTCTTCATCAGTGTGAAGATGCTCCTCAAAGAAATTCTTTATTTTCTGCTCATAGTTTGGCAACTTCTCGGGGCAAACCTCACAGAAATCCTAATGATAAAAGCCCAAGTAGTCATATTGGGATTCAGTTGTCATAACAGATACAATCTGAGCATCCAACGTTCCTAAAAAGCATTCGTTAGTTTGTGTGACATACCACATAGGAATATCCACGATCTTCGCGAATCTTCTTCAGCTCTTGGTCAGTTTCATAGTTGTCAGCATCCAAGCGCCAACTGAGCACTCCAAGCTCTACAGAAAACAAAACAATGGTGCTTTTAAACCAAAGACAACCCCAGTCACTTGGTTCAGTGGTTGATTTCAATAGAGTGCCCTACCTGCCAGTTTGTCCAGGGAAACATATTCAGGTGGATTTTTGTGATGGGGAAGCCTCTGATCCTCATTGCTATCATCCATGTACCATGCCTGAATCACTTCCTGCCTTGGATCCTGCAACATATGCAAAAATATATCGTCTCCACAATAAGAAAATTACAGGCTTTACTCTGAAAGCATTGAACACAACAAGGAAAACAGCATAAATATGGCAACCAGATATGATGAACGAAGTTCACATATTCGAACAAAAGAAAATGGTATCTCGCCCCATGAATTTAATAGAACATGGATGCATGCTTCATACAATGACCGATTATTGCCAGACCTGACAACGATTCATCAAAGAATCAATACAATCGACTTCATACTAGCTCTTCCAGGCACAGATTCTCGAGTGGGTCTCCCTACAGCTAGCAAGTTCGGCAGCCGTCCTAGATTGAAGTAATTACTAACACCCAGCACCCCGCACAAGGAACACATGTTCGATTTCAGCAATTCATAGCACAGTTCCCTGCCCCCCAAAATCGAAATTCGCAGCACAAGTCAAGTCAAAGATTTTCGGCAGGATGGGGCTTGATCCTATTCATAATGAATCAATCATCGGCTAATTCATTCAATTACTCGCGAACCACACAACCCTGCTTCAGCTACCAAATTCAGCACAGCGAATCTATGGCGGCTCCCATATCGGAAATGAAACAACTTTTCCATCAGAAAAACCAGCAGAAGGAAAAAGGAAGAGAGGAGGAAGCAATCACCTGGGCAACCATGTTTCTCCCTATACTAGCTTCGAGGTAACGCGATGACGAATGGAGGAAATTTGCGCGAATCAGAGGGCGAGGGACGGGAGGGATCTTTATTAATGGCGGGCCGTCGGAAGGTTGGAAGACGAGATTGCCCCTTATTGCGCTAATCTGCACGGCGTTTGTTAATGATAGGTGGTTAGGGCATTAGCGGACGGGATTAGTCATATACCAGCGGTGGAGTGTGGGAATGGGAATTAAATTAGGAAGACCAAATCTATTCGCCGGTGAGCCGCTCCGTAATCCGGTCCACATTAATTGAACCTGAACGGAGCAGGTAAAGGGCAGATAAGAAATTCCACGGGGCAAATTTTTTTATTAACATAGTATATATATATTCCCTTGCGTTGGCGTTGGGCAACTTTGGCCTTGACTTAAGAGATGAAAATTCTCTTCTTTTCTTTCTTAACTTTGTTTTTTTGTTTATTGAAATTGGTAAAACTGTAATTAAAGGGGCGACGTAGAACTATTCACTTCCCAGTTTTCTGTTTAAAAAATGAAAATCAATAAACAAATGACAAAAAATATTTTTGCTTGCCATTTCGTTTTCGTTGAAAAAAAATTAATTGTTACAAATGAGAAACTAGTGGGTACGAAGAGGAAAATCTCTTCCCAACTAGTATGCGAAACTTTGTGCCTAGATCGTCCTGAAGACGGATGCGACTAATGCGTTCCCCCACCGGAGAAGTCATTTTTGGACATTTGCTTTGACCACGTGACTCGTCCCGAATACCACAATTGATTCCCGCCTAAGGTCCAAGTATAAACCTTAGTCGGGTGAAGTACAGGGCAAGTATGTTTAAATATCGACTCAGGCCGGTCCGTGTACCCCTACTTCGGTCATTTGAATCTATGTCGTATTCTCCTTGTAGATCAAGCTTGTACGCATTCGTTCCAACCTTCGAAATGATTTGAAAGGGACCTTCACTTCTGGGCAGCAACTTGGATCTCCTTTGATGTGTGAACCTTTCCTTCCTCATATGCACCCACACCCAATCTCCTTCTTCAAAATTTCGAGCCTTTCTATGCTTATTGACGTTCTTCAAGATCTGCTCCGTCCTTCTTTCAATATTTAGCCGAGCCTTCTCGTGGAGATTCTTCACATACTCCGCTTTCTTAGCTCCATCCATGTTTACTTGCTCCTTCAAAGGTAAAGGTGTCAAATCCAATGGGGTAAGAGGATTGAACCCATACACAATCTCGAATGGAGAATACTTTGTTGTCGAATGCACGGCTCTATTGTAAGCGAACTCCACGTGAGGTAGGCAGTCCTCCCATGTCTTGATGTTGCTCTTGATGATGGCTCTAAGCATTTGAGATAGAGTACGATTCACCACTTCAGTTTGCCCATCTGTTTGAGGGTGACAAGTAGTCGAAAACAAGAGCTTTGTTCCAAGCTTGCTCCACAACGTCTTCCAAAAGTAGCTCAAGAACTTAGCATCTCGATCATAAACAATGGTCTGTGGCATCCCATGTAGTCGCACCACCTCTTTGAAGAACAGATCCGCCACATTAACCGCATCGTCAGTTTTATGGCATGGAATGAAATGTGCCATCTTTGAGAATCGATCCACCACCACAAAGATAGAATCTCGACCTCTCTTCGTCCTTGGCAGCCCCAATATGAAGTCCATAGATATATCAACCCACGGTAACGAGGGAATGGGTAGTGGAGTGTACAATCCAGACGATTGCACCTTCGATTTAGCTTGCTTGCACTCCACGCATCTAGCACATAAGCTCTCCACATCGCTTTTCATATGAGGCCAATAGAAATGCTCTTGTAAGCAACTCAAAGTCTTGGCTACACCAAAGTGTGCCATCAATCCTCCTCCATGAGCTTCTCATAGTAGCAATTCTCGAAGTGAAGTATGGGGTATGCAAAGTTGATTACCACGAAACAAGTAGCCCTCATGTCGATAGTACTTCCCTTCTCCATGCTTCTCACAAAGCTTGTAAATCTCTCGAAAATCAGAGTCCTCCTCATAGATGCTCTTGATTTGCTCTAATCCAAGGTATCTTGCATCCATGGTAGTGATCAACGTGTATCTTCGCGATAATACATCAGCAACTACGTTCTCCTTACCTTGCTTGTACTTGATCACATAAGGGAATGATTCAATGAACTCCACCCAACGAGCATGCCTCTTGTTCAACTTGTGTTGGGCCTTCAAATACTTGAGAGACTCATGATGAGTATGTATGACGAATTCCTTTGGCCACAAGTAGTGTTGCCAAGTCTCCAAAGCTCGAACAAGTGCATAAAGCTCTTTATCATAAGTTGGGTAATTAAGCGTAGCTCCGCTCAACTTCTCGCTGAAATATGCAATGGGCCTCTTCTCTTGCATGCAATGAGTAAGCTTGTACTTGAGGAGCTCGAATGCCTTCTCTTGCTCTTCTCCCCAATAAAATGCCACATTCTTCTTGATAATTGAGGTCAATGGTGCCGCAATGGTGCTGAAGTTGGGCACAAATCGTCGATAAAAGCCAGCCAATCCATGAAAGCTTCTTACTTCACTTATGTTGGTAGGAGTAGGCCATGCTTGAATCGCTTTTACTTTCTCTTCATCGACTTCAACTCCATTAGCACTCACGAAAAAACCCAGAAACACCACGCTTGAGGTGCAAAATGTACGCTTCTTGAGGTTGGCATAGAGTTGCTCATTCCTCAAAGTCTTCAACACGTCCCTCAAGTGCTCAATGTGCTCTTCCATGCTCTTTGAGTAGATCAGAATGTCATCAAAGTAGACCACCACGAATTTTCCAATGAATGCTCTCAACACATGATTCATCAGCCTCATAAACATACTTGGAGCATTTGTTAAGCCGAATGGCATCACCATCCATTCATAGAGACCATGCTTTGTTTTGAATGTTGTCTTCCACTCGTCTCCTTCCTTCATGCAAATTTGGTGATAACCAGACCTTAGATCAATCTTCGAGAACATGTTAGACCCATGTAACTCATCAAGCATGTCATCTAATCGAGGAATAGGATGACGATACTTAACGGTTATTTGGTTGACTGCTCGGCAATCAACACACATCCTCCACGTATGCTCTTTCTTAGGCACGAGGATGACAGGAACCGCACAAGGACTCATGCTTTCACGAACATGTCCTTTCTCCATAAGCTCATCAATTTGCCTTTGCAAATCCTTTGTCTCCTCTGGATTCATCCTATAGGCTGCCTTGTTTGGAATGGTAGCCCCAGGAACAAAGTCAATTTGATGCTCTATCCCGCGGATTGGAGGTAATCCCTTTGGTGCTTCTTCGGGAAAGACATCCTCAAACTCTTCTAGTACCACTCGTGCCCTAGGTGGTACCTCTTGAATTAGCTCTTGGTTGAGTGGCAATTCCTTGTATAGGACAATAATCATAGGAACTCGATCATAGAGGGCTTGCTTCATGTCTCCTTGTCGAGCTAGCATCAATGCCTTGGACTCCAAGCTACTCGAACCCTTCTTTGCACCCCTTGCGGATTGAGCCTTCTTCTCTTCATCTCAAATTTGTTGCATTTGTAATTGATCTTCATACACTTCTCTAGGAGATAGAGGCTTCAATACTATCTTCCTACCTTGGTGCTTTAACGTGTATTTGTTGGTGACGCCGTCATGTTGAGCACTTCGATCAAACTGCCACGGCCTCCCAAAGAGAACATGAGCCGCTTGCATTGGCACCACATCGCATGTTACTTCATCCTTGTATTTGTCAATGGAGAACTTCAATAATGCTTGTTTAGCCACTTTGATTGACCCATCTTCATTGAGCCATTGAAGAGTGTAGGGTTTTGGATGAATCGTTGTTTTCAACCCTAACTTCTTCACACAAATAGCACTAACCACATTGGTGCAGCTCCCTCCATCAATCACAACCTAAAGGGTCTTCCCATCCACTACACACCTCGTATGGAGAGATTTTTCCAATAATAGCACCTTTAAAAAAAAAAATTACAAAACTAGCACCCTGTCAAAAATATTTACAAAACTAGCACCCTTTTATATTGACCGCACCCTCCACGTGCGATTTACACATAAACCGCATCCCCCAGGTGCGTTTTACACATAAATCGCACCTTGAGAGTGCGATCTAATTTGGTGGGCCTAAATCGCACCTTGCCCATGCGTTTTCATGTCTGAGCTACTTGAAACGCATGGCCGAGGTGCGGTTTAGGCCTGACCTACCTAAACCGCACCTTGGTGATGCGATTTATTTCTCCAAACATGAACCGCATCCGCAAGGTGCGATTTCACCAGGTAGATCGCAGCCCCCAGGTGCGGTTTACGTGTCAATTATTTACCGACACCATGCAGAGAATTATGTACGTAGGGTTGCATGGCAGACTAAAACCGCACCCTAGAGGTGCGGTTTTCACAATTTTTTCCCCTATATAAGACTTGCCGGAAAACAGACTCTTCACACCTCTCATTCTCCCTCGCATTCTCTTTCATTTTTCTGTTGTATATCTATATTTATTTAGTGTGTTTGCCATTAAGATTAACTCGTAAGTTTATTTTGTGTTACTTTTTATGCCATTAACATTAACTCGTAACTTTATTTTGTGTGACTTTTTATGCCATTAACATTAACTCGCACCTCACAAGTGCGATCCACACTCAGAAAACTGACGCTCTGATGAGGACATCAATGGGCCAGTCACACGTGCTAAGGCAAGGACATTGAAGGAGAAGCTTGCGACATATTTGGAGAGCTACTTTGGAGCCATGGATGTGGAGCTATTTCGAGGGAAGCCATATATGATGATTCGAGTGGAGGAAGAAGGAGGAAGTGCTGAAGAAAAGGCAGATTGCAAGAAGCAGCCTTAACGGGTTTGCTTAACGGGTCCAGCCTTAACGGGTTTACTTAACGGGTCCAGGCTTAACGGGTTGGGCTTAACGGGTTTGCTGGGCTGTTTCCGAGTTTCCTTGTTTTAAAGTCGGTTTATGATTGTTTTTCCATGTTAGAGTCGGATTTGGGTTGTATTTTGCCTATTTAAAGGGCTGAACACGTTGGTTTTGCCCTTAGACGATTATTATTGAATTTCAGAGGCTAAAGCCGAGTTCCCTACGCGGAATTTGCCCTAATTGCTCTGTCGAGAATCTCCAGAGTGCTAGAGCGACTCTTATCAGCTAGGTAATCACCCTGGTTGTGGCGAGCTACCCATATCGATTGCCCTTTATTCCGAGTTGAATCTGTCCGATCGATTCATATATCGATTGCCCTTATTCACGGGTGAGTACTGTCCGATCGATTTCCATCCTATCCGGTTCTGTTTGGTTCGAGAAGCTTGACCCTGTGCAACTTTGATTATATCAAGTGGTATCAGAGCCTGGTTCAAATCAGTGGCGTGTTCTTGAA